TACATTTGGATTGATTGATTGATTTGTCTCCTGTAAACATTTAGCCTGGCTCCAGTCGACCTTTTGCCAAACATCAAATTTCCCAGCTGGAGTTGTATGTAGGCGGGGCTAAAGTTCGGGTGTTGTAAACATTCCCTCTGCTCCAGTTTTCTCATGTCTGTATCTGCTGTGACGGTCGACAGAGATGTTGCTGATTGAGTCGTTTTCTCCTGATGAAATAAGGGCAGAGCAGACGACCCACCAGATGTGGTCTATTAGATTGCACTTCATGCATAAAACATATTGAAACTCTATTATGACGAACAACCCTTTGGATGTAATGTCCGGTGCTTCTCATTCTCTGGATATGAATGAATGAACTAGTTGGTACTATAATCCAACATTAATTTAAATTCAAAGAAAAGCCTATTTAACAGAAATGATATAACATGTTTTAAATCTTACAACATTAGGACGTGCCCCCTCCCTTCCTTCACTTCTGTAAAGTTGCCCGGCTTTCCAATATCTGCGGTAATGGGGTCCGCACATTAAAAGCAGGTGGCTGTTACTTACGCTAAAAGTGGAGAGGGAAGCCGTAGGGATAAGCAGCCAAAATGCACTTTTAAAACTTTTTCTTAAATCTGAAAGAGCTTTGCGACTACCTTCACTGCACACATGTTCACTGTGATGCCCTCTGCAAGTGTACAAGGGGCACCAGGATATATTTTCGCCAAGAGCCCCTAACAGCCTCGAGTCGGCCCTGCCTCTAGGTTTTTGAGTCGTTCTTTGCCAATGCAGGACGGTCGAAGTACAGCGATGATCCGAGACATTTATTGACTTTTTCTTAACATTTACAGTAGTAGTCATCCCGCTCAATCGACCAATGGCTTTTATGAGTTTGTTGTTATTGCATTTCTTGTGTTCAAAGTCTGTCTTTATTCTCTGATTGGTTGTTGAGGAATCGTCAGCTTTGTAAAGTCCTTCGAGACGACTTCTGTTGTGATTTCGGTCTACACAAAAATACATTGAATCGAATTGAATGGCCTAGATTTGGACTTGTAGAGTAGACCCCGAGGCAAGATTGAGCTCGAATCTTGCAGAACCAGACACACGTTCAGCGGAGCGGAGCTACACGTGCAAGACCTGCCGACACATGAAAGCGGCGTGAACGTGGACTGAAAGATCGCTGGGGCGTGGAGGCGTGGATCCAAAAGGTCGTCGGCTCCACGCTGAGGCTTGATCCTGAGCCTTCCTTTTCATCTCCTCTTGAAACAACTCCACTCAAACAGACTCTTAAATGGACCTGGGACCTGTTGCCTTCACCAGTGTGAGCCTCAGCTTCATCAGGAACGCACTCGGTCTACCCCTCTCTCCTCTCTTGGTGCATTATGGGTGCCGTCCTGGCTGCGTTGTCTATCGAGGTCCGAAGACGGCTTTCTAGACCGAGCTGCTTGACCCACAGCGCGAGGTACCACAGATCAGGTAAGAGCAGGCCGCATTTATGGACCACTCTACAGACCATGAGCTTGTACCGTCTGGATTTGCTACTTTGTGCATTTTATCGTGGGACTCACTTTTATCCTCAATCCTTCGATCATCTCCATCTCATTCTGTTTCTCCATCTTTTCTTCGAACTTGAATGAAGCCAATCTGCAGAGAAAAACTTGCTTGTGTCCGCAATCCTACCCTCTCGGACACTACCAAAAGCTCAGAACCATAGTAGAGATTGTGATGTGTTTTTTCATTGACTTTTATTTAGTGTTAAAGATATATAATGGGAGGATTTTCTTCTTCCGGGTGCATCATCCAACCTGTTGGTCCTCCTAATTGTCGATCATTCTGGTGATGTGCAAGATACGTTTTAATCTTTTGTCTTTCTTCTTGTGTTTCCTGTCTGCTTTGTCTTTCTGTATCTACTATTCTCTCTAATTATTTTGAATTTTTATTATCATGACTATTTTATAGTTTTTTATGCTGACTGTGCAGTACTTTGTAAACATTGTTTTTTAAAAGTTCAATACAAATAAATATGTATTATTAATATTATTGTTGTTATTATTATTATTATTATTATTATTATTATTGTTATTATTATATATTGTACATGTTTTTAGTGGTAGGGGAAACCGGAGCGCCTTGATGAAGAGGCAAACTCCACTCAGAAAGGTCTGGAGGTGGAATTGAACCCAGGACCTTCTTGCAGAGAATCCTCGATTTAGAGTATATTAGAATGTATAGATTAGTCTAAAGATAAAGATCAAATGTTTTCTAATAGAATCATAGATGGCATTATGTGATCTAATACAACTTTTCAGTCCTTCAGTCAGGGACAAACACGTTTTAAAAAGTTAGACACCCTAGCTTTAAATACACACTTTTCCTGCGTGGAGAGAGTGAGCGACCGGAGCGGTGAGGAGAGGATCCGGTGTTTAAGGGCTCCGGAACTCCAGAGTGGATCCTGAAAAGCTCTGCGTCTGTGGATCAGCAGTAATGTGTTTGGGAGAGGAACCTACAGCTGCACGCCTCTATTTACTGTCAGCGGTGTCAGCAACCTGGGCCCCTTAAAGAGCAGCTAATGGCCAGAGCCGATGCACTCACACACATTAGGCACAAACACAACACTGCCCTAAGCAAGTTAGTCAGCAGGGATCAAAGTGTGGGCAAAGTGCAGGGTTATGGTAATATCAGCAAAACTAAACACATCCATACATCACACAGCCGCTGGGACTATTCATTCTGGGACATACAGGAGATATACAAAATTGCCTTTTTTTTAGCTTTTAATAACCTGGTTTCTGTGCATTTATTTATTTAATTGAGATGTTTGAGACCATTTCTGGCGACAAGATAAAAAAGTACACAAGGTCTGAAAATTCTCTGCTATCAGCTTCACAATCAACATAAGTAAAATGTTTATAATATTCCTCTTTGGCAAAGTCTGAAAGTCTCGTTCAGTTCTGCAACTATTTATGTCAACCAAAGAATATTGTTTCTGAAAACATAGACCTGGAGACCATAGACCTCTCTGGGTTCAGAAGGCTCGGTCTCTCAGGGTTCAGAAGGCTCGGTCCTCAGGGTTCAGAAGGCTCGGTCCTCAGGGTTCAGAAGGCTCGGTCCTCAGGGTTCAGAAGGCTCGGTCTCTCAGGGTTCAGAAGGCTCAGTCTCTCAGGGTTCAGAAGGACCGGTCTCTCAGGGTTCAGAAGGCTCGGTCTCTCAGGGTTCAGAAGGACCGGTCTCTCAGGGTTCAGAAGGCTCGGTCTCTCAGGGTTCAGAAGGCTCGGTCTCTCAGGGTTCAGAAGGCTCGGTCTCTCAGGGTTCAGAAGGCTCGGTCTTCGGGTTCAGAGGGTTCGGTCTCTGGGTTCAGCAGGCTCGGTTCTCAGGTTTTGACACTTCGTTCCGATGGGAGTGAGGAGGTTCGAGTCTATGGATCTGAGGGGTGGAAGATCAACTACTGATGGAGGAGGGGCGCCAGGTCATGAAGGGACTTGTAGTAGGTCAGCGGAGGATTTTGAGGATGAGGTAATTATGTCTTTGCTCAGTATTGGCACAGTTCAAAAATATCCCAGGATTTTCTTGCATGTATTTGTGGCTCCAGTGTGGTTATTTCTGTCCGTATCCTGTTATCTGGAGGTATTTATAAATGGAACCCGAGGAAGAGGGGATTCTGTGCGTCACCGTGTTATCGATCTCTCCCGATCGGGCCTGAACTGGGTCTGCCATCTCCAGCCCCTGTCAATGCATTAACACTGTCCACTCTGTCTGAATGCATTAGCGTATGTGGAGTCCTCCTCTGACCTGCTACAAACGCACACGCACATACACACGCAAAAACACATACAGACGCACAAACACATACACACGCACATACACGTACACACACTTATTCACTTAATATTCTCCACTTCCTCTTCAGCAGGTGTGTGTATCTTTCATAAAATTTTGTCAACACAAATCGTTGCAAATCGTTCTATCTCGCTCTCTCTCTCTCTCTTTCTTGTTTGGACTTCCTAATGCGACGTTTGCCCCCTCCGCTCGGAAATATGTGGCATGAAATGGAATGGGGGGGTGGAAGCGGGAGGTCCATTGATGGAGGAAAGTGAAAGCGTGAGCCCGCAGCCCGAGGGGGAAGGAGCGTCTGCGGTCTGCCAAAGTTGTGCGATGACACATGAGATGGAGAGGAGGAACCAGGAGCAAGCCCAGAGAAGACCCAAACGAAAGGCAGAAGCCGAGCAGGGATGAGCTGGGAAAGTTGGAAGCAGCAACAGCTTCGTGAGGTGGTCGGGTTTGGGACGTTTCGGGTCGACTTTCTTTGAAGGATTTGATGTTTTTGGGCGTCGAGATTCACTCCTGATGCTCTGAACAACTCGATTTGCGTGTTTGGAGGGATTACTTACAAGAAGGAAACACAATTTTCCACTGTGGTCATGTGCTATCCCAAAGAGAAACCATTGCAGTGATTTGTATTTGATTTTCTAGCGTCTTTTCTCGATGCTAGCTCTGATTTCCAACACATTAATGCCCAGTGTCTTTTGACGAGGACTTGCGTACACAGGATGCGACGGAGGTTTGAGAAATCACTCCCTGGGATAATGGATTATTTATTTGCGGTCGAGCTGTATGTCGGATGAACAACAAAGCATGTCTCTGCCGGTGAACTACGCTCACACCAGGACTTCTGACCAACTTCGCAACTGAATGCATACTCTTTCACTTTCAGCTATGACTAGATGCAAATGTTTGGATTAAGAGACATTATTGAGTGCGAGGCCAGCGTTCTTTCCAGGGGCCGCGAGTCCTTAATGCATTGTAATAAATAACTTTTGACACCGGTGAAATTTTTAGTTTCGGGAGTTCAGAAGAAGATTCCTTATATGTCGTGGCAATATTGTTGATACGCCTTGAGCTTGACGTGTTTCTCCATGCCGTCCCAGGGGTTTTAAACACAGACTTAGCTGGACTTTCTCACCGGTTCGTGTTTACATACTCACATACTGTAGCGGTCGGGAGGATAGCCCTCCATCATGGGCATTCATGGCATGGAGCTTTGTGCCATCGGGGTCGTCATAATCCTCTTCATGGCCGTGCTCAAACAGTTCGGGATCCTGGAGCCTATGTCGTCATTTGAAGGTAAGTCCGTCGGCGGCGGCTGCGACCAATTTGTTGTGCGGTTTTTATTTTATTTTAGGCAGTTTTTCTTCTTTTTTCATTTGTAGAAAGGGTTATTTAGATGTTTTTAATGTGGAGATTTCCCCATTAAATGTTTTTAATATGGAGATTTCCCCATTAAAGCCGTAAGTCATTTATATAATTATTGGTTAATTATAGGATAGTGGGTGTTGTATTTTTCATACTTGTAAGAAAGAGCTCTGGGACAGTCACTGTTTGACACTTTGAGCTAAGAGCTAATTTCCTGCGTGAGGGTGGAGCTTTCTTTTTCAATTTTCTGTTTGAAGAATGATCAAAACTAGAGAAAACTAGTAAAAAGAACAAAAATAATTATTTTTTTTATTTTAGGGAGTTTTCTTTCTCTTTTCATTTGTACAGTTTGTCATTTTGACTGTAGAAGATTTCCCCATTAAAACATTAAATCACTTCTATAAATGATTATTGGTTATAATGTTTTAATTTACAATGTGCTGATCTTGTGAGGGGGGATGTTGTCATTAGCGTATGATAGTTTCAATACATCACTTTTCATAATCATGAATAATACATGTTGTTTGTCCCGTCAGTAAGAGACCGACCACAACATTTGTCGTCATCTCATAGAAAAAACATTATTGTATATTATTTTATACGTTTATTTTGTTTGGAGAGTGGAGGTTTATGAACACACCTCTCTGGAACTATTGTACATGTTTTTTGTGATAGGGGAAACCGGAGCACCTGGAGGAAACATACAGAGACACAGGAATAACGTGCAAACCTCACACAAAAAGGTCCAGAGATTAACTTCAACCCATTGCTTTTTTGTTTACCTTTTTCTTTGGTTTCTTTGTTATTGTCCCTTTTGTCCTTTCTTTGTGTTTTTTAGTTTTTCATATATCTATTTATTTGTTGCACAAGAAAAAAAATGGCAACAAATAAACAAATGCACACTTATATATCAAATAAAATAAAAACACAGAGGACCACACGACTCACGCGGTGTAAAAGCACAGAATAAAAGTGGGTCTTGAGACGAGACTTAAAACATTCCAACGAGGGAGCTGTTATGACGTTTATGTATTATTATTATTAACAAAAATAAATATAAGAAAAGCAAAAAAAACACAAAGGACAAAAGGGTTCTCAAAAAAATGTAACCCATACCTTCTTGTTATGAAACACATGTGATAACCCTGCTCCACTGAGTCACTATTTAACCCTTTGGGCTAAGATCTGATTGGCTGATGACGGTGGAACTCTCCTTTTTCACTTTTCTGTCTGAAGATGATCTAAACTCGAGAAAACTAGTGATACAACTAAACTGTTTTGAGAGCAAAGATTTTATTATATCGTTTATTAATTATTTGCATTTGGCTTGAAAGTTAGGGAGCCAAGCTTTAAAACGCAGTATATCTATGAAGCAATGTCGCTCAAACTGTCGCTCTCAGAAGTAGATGAACTTTTCCAAATGTTTCCTAAATGTTACTCATATTTTGGATGAAAAATAAGTCAAAAATGTCTCAAATTTGGGATATTTTGTTTTTTATTTAAGCACATTCTGACTACCTTAAAACAGGATTTGCCAAAGGGACAATGCAAAATTATCTTGTTTTTAAAATGTACAAGAAAAATCGCCCTTGGAATGAAAAAATAGAGCCACAGTTTTTAAATAAGACTTTATTAGGTTTGTCTCATTTTAATACAGTCAGAATGTGCTCAATTCAAGCAATTAGTATCTCATATTTTATCATTTTTTGCAGTGTTCTGAAAGAGACTATGACAAAGTAACAGACAAAAAATGAAGAGAAAGCAAAGTTATTTAAAAACAATTAAAATAAAGTGGGTAAACATGGCAAAAGTGTGTCTTTTTCAAACCACACATACAGTATGCAGACTATCAGAAGAGTAAGAAGCAGAATATACCATTTGGAGAATTTTTCCCCACATTAACAAAATTGGGGCGGCACTGTTTCTGTGTTTGAGTTTGCATGTTCTCCCAGCGTCTACAAAGGTTTCCTCCGGGTGCTCCAGTTTCCCCTCCCACTAAAAACATGTACAGTAGATCCAGCCTGCTTCTATCACTGTGTGGAGCACTTTTCAGACTCTTTTCTGACTTCTTACAGCTTTTGATCACGTTGTAGTTGTTTTATTGTGTCTTTTACAAACTTGTAGTTGTTTTTAGAGCCAGCTGTAGACTAAAGTAATGCTTGGAGTTGGACACTAAAAACATCCCTGATTGAACAATTGGACTAAAACAGGGGCGCGATAATATATAATATATGTTATGTGTGTCGGACTAACTTTAAACAAGACATATTTTGCTTGTACAGATGGCCTTATCCATCCGTACACTCCGCTCAATCATAATTTCACTGCATGTAACGTCTGGGTCTGGTCCCTGTGTTAGCGATTACAATCGGTTGAATTTTGACCGACCATTCAGAGAGCGCGGAAGTCGGGTGTTGTAGTTAGTTGTGGGTGATGTCAAGAGTTTGCGTCAAACGGGCAGGTTGTAGTTTGGCAATGGCAAAAAATTTGATAGTAAAGTATTCCGGTCTGGTTTTATCAAGAAATTGACACCGGAGCAAGGGTCACGTTTAGCAAACGTAATCTCTAGAAAAAATTGTGGCGCTACTCCCCACGGGCAAGGCTAAATGCTAAATGCTAACAACAGACTCGGGCGCATTTCAAACGTCACGGTAAACTCAGATCCAATCCTTTAAATCTGCAAAAGGAGTTAACCCCTCCCACCTGTAAACGGAGCTCAATGGAGCACCTCCAGACCTTAGTACAAAATGTAAATTGTACTATGGTGTGGTACGACCAGGCTATATTTTGTCCTGTCATAGGTGAAAAGTTTGGAGATTTGAGCTGAAGCCATTTAGACAACTTTGCCTGAAGAATAATAATATCAAAACACCGCTAATATCCTTCCATAATGGATCAAACTTCACAATCATCATTTGCTCCGGTGCCCCATTCCTCTGCCCACAATCACCAGGCCGTACTTACACTGGGTTTAGCATTACTCCATATTAATTATACATGCAGTATCGAACTGGCTTTCTCTGAGGCTGCCTAAATCTGGAGTGCTCCTCTCGGCCCCTGAAGGACACCGGCGATCCATCAGGAGCCTCCAAAAGCCTCCGCAGGTGTCCGCTTCCTCAGCATCACGTCACGCCCGGCCTGGTCTGGTTTGGAATGGACCTTTTTGGTAGCTTTTGACCACCACCAAAAACAGACCTACTGTAGTTCCTGTTTCAGTCCTGTCTCGGTCCTGTCTCGGTCCTGTCTGAGTCCTGTCTGAGTCCTGTCCCGGTCCTGTCCCGGTCCGCTGTTTCAGTCCTGTCTCAGTCCTGTCTCAGTCCTGTCTCAGTCCTGTCTCAGTCCTGTCTCAGTCCTGTCGCAGTCCTGTCTCAGTCTTGACTCAGTCCTGTCTGAGTCCAGTCCCGTTCCTGTCCTGGTCTTGTCCCGGTCCTGTCCCAGTCCTGTCTCAGTCCCAGTCCTGCCCCGGTCCTGTCTTAGTCCGGTCCCAGTCCTGTCTCAGTCCTGTCCCAGTCCTGTCCCAGTCCTGTCTCAGTCCTGTCTCAGTCCTGTCTCAGTCCTGTCCCAGTCCTGTCTCAGTCCTGTCTCAGTCCTGTCCTGTCTCAGTCCTGTCTCAGTCCTGTCCCAGTCCTGTCTCAGTCCTGTCCTAGTCCTGCCCCAGTGCTGTCCCAGTCCTGTCCCAGTCCTATCTCAGTCCTGGCTCAGTCCTGTCTCAGTCCTGTCCCAGTCTTGGCTCAGTCCTGTCTCAGTCCTGTCCCAGTCCTGTCCCAGTCCTGTCCCAGTCCTATCTCAGTCCTGTCCCAGTCCTTTCGATTTGAATTTTTTGAGCAATTTTTGACTCATTTCTCATCACGTTTTGCAGCGCATGGTTGTAGCAGTTCTCAGTGTTGTCCAGCAGAGGGAGCCATCATCCCGCAGCCCTGTGGGATCACTGCCTCTGTTCCTCATTATTAAACTGAAACAATAACATCAAAACCTCTCTGGAGACACAAACAATTAGAAACTGGATCAGCACTGAGTGACAGGGACCAGAGAATTCAGGCCATGTGCTCGTACTATAGTTTTACCGTATTTAAAGACTTTTTAGAGATGGTATTCATGGAGTAGGGGTGAGATATCGCGCCTCACAGCAAGAAGGTCCTAGGCTTGACTTCCAGGTGGCGTGGAGCCTTTCCTGGGTAGAGTTTGTATGTTCTTCCCATATGTGTGTGTGTGTGTGTAGAATTTCCTCCAGGTGCTTCCCCTCCCACTAAAACAGAGCGTGGTGAGTGAATGGCTGGTGGTGCCTATAAGAGCGCTATATATATAAATAGTACTTACTTAAAATAATAGCAGTTTGTTCATCTTGGTCATAACGGTATGATAATGTTCGGATCAAAGAAATTACATTGATAGATAGTCGACATGTCCCAGAAAGTCTTTGGCAACTTTTCTTTTGTTGGCTTTAAAGCTGGGGTACCTAACTTTCAAAGCACAAATCACTCTCAAAACAGTTTAGTTCTTTCACTAGTCTTCAGAAAGGTTGAAAAACAGAGGACGCAAACAATTTTTCTCACACGTTTACACAATTTTTCTCACACGTTTACACAATTCTTCTCACACGTTTGCACAATTTTTCTCACACGTTTACACAATTTTTCTCACACGTTCACACTATTTTTCTCACACGTTTACACTATTTTTCTCACACGTACACACAAGATCACATGTTTTTTTGTCATATGAAGACAGCATGTGATCAGCAGATTGATGTATCCCTATGTTATTCTGTCTACAGTGACACAAACATGTTTAAATTGCGAGAAATTGAATGTTCTGTCGTCGTGGCAACCTGCATGTTTTTGTGATGACCTTATAGCATAGTTTGAATACAGTTAGTGGACTCCTGCACTTGCAATATGGTAATGAAATGTGTTTGACATTGACTACAACACACACCATGTAGTTAAAAGCACTACGCGGCTGCTTTAAAGCTGGGCTACCTAACTTTTTTTTCTTCATGAATATCACATGTTGCTTGTCTCATACGAAGAGTCTTTAAAAAGTAAAATGTTGTAAACGAATCAAATGCGATTGTAACACATAGGAGCCATTAGACCCTTCTGCATCAACAAAAGAAGACCCAAAAACCCTCGGGAAGGCCCGTATAAGCAGAGAAAGACCTGCTCCCACGAATGCACTGGGAGACATTAGATCCGAACTGAGGCCGTAGATCCAGGACTGCGGCTGTAGATCCAGGACTGAGGCTGTAGACCCAGGACTGAGACTGAAAATCCAGGACTCAGGTCGCTTTTATAGCTAGAAACTCGCTATCAGATTTTATTCTAGTCTAATTAGTTATGGTGTGAAAGCTATACGTACCCCAGCTTTATTATACATGTTCAATCCACTGAGAACCATAAAAAATCATATCCTTTCCATGTCAAGTCTGCTGCAATCCGGTGGGACAAAAAGCCAATTAATTACTATGTCAAGAGGAGGGGGCCGGGAGACAAGATTGTAACAGAAATATAACAAGAAGTGACATAGTTTTTTGGGACACGGAGGAAAGTGGAGGGACAGGGGAAGAGTTCGTAGGCTGAGGCCGAGGAGAGCGCAAAGCTGGAGGAGTCCGAGGAGCAGCGGAGGATGAGCGTGAGGTGGGAGACAGAGGGGCTCCAGACCGTGGGGATAGTCTGCCTGGTCATCATGTTCCTCAAACTGATGCACCTGCTGGGCCTGATCGACATCACGGAGACCGGTGAGAGGACGCCGCGGTCGCCAAGACGCAAAAACGGAAATAGAACGGCGTTTTTACATTGTTTTATTGTGATGTGGTTTTAATTCTAGCAAACTTGGTCGATTTTGCTGGGATTTTGAAACAGTATTTGTGGACAATCTAACTGCATAATATTAAGAGATGGATAGGATGATGGTATATTAAGTACAGTATAACTACTCTACAACTCTCGTACTTTTTGACGCTTTGAGTTGGGTGGTCCTCTCTGTTTCACTTTTCTGCCTTAAAAAGCTGATTTAAAGATGTGACAGAGGCCAAACATACAGTATATGCAAAGCTCCACGGTCTATGGCTCGGTTCAAACCCTGGTTTTTGTGTGGAAGCTGAGCCAACAACATGTTTATCCCTCCACTGATGAGGTGGTGATGATGAGGAGGAGGTGGGTTGTTGCACGATTAGCAGCTTGAGGTCTTGAGAGGTCTGAATGTTGCCATGAAGTGATGCTCCAGGGCAGGTGTGTAGCAGAGGTAGGATTGATGTGGCAGATGAGAGTGAAGCGGTCTATCAAGCTCAATGTTTGCTTTCGCTTAATGATTTGTTAACCAATTTTGTACCATTTATCGTCAATTTCAGGAATTATGTCAGATTCACAGTTGCAAATGTTTGGTTTTCAAATAATTTTCATGGGAAGTGTACGCTGGGAAATTTGTGTAATATTCAATCACTGGGAATTAACTGTAATGTCATTAAATTACAACTAATTTCCCATAATATCATCAAAACCTTTTGCAAAAATATACTTTACTCAACTATATATAAGTAAGTACTGTAAGTAATGTTTATTTATAGAGCGCGTTTTACAGACAAGATCACCCAAAGAGCTTTAGAACATTCAAACACCATCACGTTTGAAAATTTCCAGTCAATTCCCACTGATTTCCATAAATTCCCAGACATGGAAAGTTTACATCTATGAACATTTCTAGAATTTTGCAACGTTAGTCACAGTCAAAAACATGAAACGGCAACATAAATACTCATGTTTATAATCCAAAAATGACAAAAATTATGCACCATATGTCTTCTTTAAGCCCAGACCCTCAGACCCATGTCCTGCTCAGACCCGCTGCAGTCTATAGTTCTCAGAGTATTGTGTTTCTTCGCCCGGTTGGACTCGGACATAACTCCTGCTACAGTTTCCTCGTATGTGCCTCCTGGAGATGTCCTCGCTGACCTGACTTTTGTTTTTTGTCACTTTTCTTTCTCTTCCTATCCCTCTGCTCTGCTCTTCAATCCCCTCGTCTCTCCTCTGTCTGTGTTTTCTGTGTAAAGATGGTGAGTATCGGCACGTAATGAATACTGAGAATCCTTCTTCTTGTTGGAATGCCTTACTTTGTCCCAGACCTGTGCTTTCTCTTTGGAGTGTGTGAACAGTTAGGCCAGAAGCATTCAGGTCTTAGCAGGATGGTGGATCACTGCAAAAAATGATAAAATATGAGGTTATAATTGCTTGGATCAAGTGGTTTTTATCCTAATTTGAGTACATTCTGACTGTGTTAAGACAAGATTTGGTTGTGCCAAATTCAGAATGTGCCAATTTTTTTGCATTTTTCTCTCATTTTGTATCACTTTTTGCAGTGCTTGATGCATAAATAGATCAATTATCATTAACAGCAAAACATCATTGGAGAAAGCCATAGTAACAGCAGCAGAAGTTGCATATAAAACTCTTAGCTCAACAGCAGAAATTTAGCAAGTAAAAAAAATCCTATCTAATGCATTCTTGCACTCAGTAGTGTAAAACTAAAACTGTAGTCGCATCTGCCCTGGGGCACAACGACAGGAGCGAGGCCACCAGTACGCACACACGCACCCACACACACACACCAGACACTCAGGCATGTCAAAGTCAAATACATCAGAGGGCCAAAAAAAAATTTTTGCTACGCGCCGAGGGCCGGACTGGTTCAATGTTTCTCAACATCCAGAGGCAGTGCCGGTGACACCTGTTGGCTCAATAAAATATGCTCTAAAGCCAATCCTCATACTGTACATATTAGATGTAATAGACATCTGAGAACATGAAAATAGTAAAAAAAAAAAAACCTCAAACTTGGTGAAATGTAAAAGAGCAGTCTGGACATCTTTTCGGGGCGTTTTTTGATTAAATCTGCAAAGTGGATTATACTTTGGGAAATACAAGTGGATATTCTTCTTCAATAGACAGTTACAGAGAGAAAGCGACTAAGCAAGGATGGGGAAAGTCTAATTTGTTGGAGCAGCAGAAGACGAAAGGTAAAAAACAAATACAGACGTGATTTATTTTGTCCCCATATTATGCGTTATATCTTTTTAATGCAAAGTCTGATATCGTTTACACTTACATATAAATATAGCTGAGAAAATAAGCTTTAAAATGATATATAGCTTGTGGCTTATGAAGTTCAAAATACATCTGCTATTGTATTTTTTTCCTCGTTTGCTCCCGCCGGCGGGGGCTAGCGAGCTTAAGGGGTGAATACATTGCCTCAATGGCAGGCAATGTCCCGGGGGCCATAGATAATTCATTCGCGGGCCTTGACTTTGACACATGTGCTCTAGGCAAGGTCAGTGAAATGTCTTGCCTAAATACATCAAAATAAAACTGTTCAAAAACAAAAGTCCACACCACGACAGAACTATTCATATTGGATTTATTGCTATGGTAACAACCAAACAGTTTCTGCCGTAAAGAAAGTACCCCATGTTCAGGTCTTCTGTGTTTCGCACGTCGTCCCAGTGACGCCTGTCTGTGAGTGTTCAGAGGTGGGTAGCAAGTGCAGAAAATGGAAAGAAAACCCATAAAAATATCACTTAAATAGAACAACAATATTAGGGAGTCTAGTACTGTAATATCAGCTAATTCTATTTTAGCTTTTTGGTAATTAGGTATTTAAAATGGACTAAAAAGCACGGATGAGGTCATTCTAACTGTATTATATGACAGAAATATAATCATTGTGATCATTAATGGAGTTGTGTGTAGTTTTTCCTTCTACTGGTTTAAAAAAGTCACTATTTATTTAGTTATTTCAACCTGGCACAATACTTATTTTGTACATATATCAATATAACAGACAAATAAACGTGTACCTGGTTCGAAAAGGGTAAAACTCAATCATAAAACTAAAACTAAAACATAGATTTCCTGTGTTTACATTTACTGATAAAGGACATACAGTTTACATTGGCTCCAACCTGATCCAACCAAATATTCTGGCAACTCAAATATTTTCTTGATGAAGGCATATCCCCAGAAATGTTGCATCACCAATAAATTATTGTTTTTGCCAGTATGGAATAATTCTGTGATTCTACTATAGGCTGTAAAGAACCCGATACAATTATCCGTTCAAATTTTTGCCAACACAGATCAGAGAATCAAACAGTTTAAACTCAGAAATGAAATGATTTAAAACACATAGAGCCATTGGTCCAAAGGGGCAGAGACCAATGTCCATAAAGGTTCATAGATGATCATAAATGTTACTGAATGTCTTCGATCATGACCAAAATACAAAAGACAAAACAGGATAACAACAAACTACAAAATATACATGTTTTAAGAGATTTAAAGGGAGTTTTATGAAGCGGTGAATACAGCTACCCACCTCTGAGTGTTTGTCTCTGTTCAAGTCCCTGAATGTCGACCTGCCTTCGCCCCGTGTCTAAACTGCACGCCTCCTTTTCCTTCTTACATTGGTCTGTTTTCTGTCTGTCTATCATCCCTTCTTCCCCTTGCTCTGTCTACTGTCTCTTCATTCTCTCTGTATTCTTTCCCCCCTCTCTCTCTCTCTCGTTCTTTTCTTCCTTCGTTTGTTGTGGATCATAGACAGCAGCGACAGTGACCTGGAGCTGTCCACGGTGCGACACCAGCCGGAGGGACTGGACCAGCTCCAGACTCAGACCAAGTTCACCAGGAAGGAGCTGCAGTCGCTCTATCGAGGATTCAAAAATGTACGATTACAAACTTAACTAACCTTACTAACCCTCTCCAGGTAGGCGTTGCAGATTTGCAACAACTTATTATTAATTACCCACTACTCCACATCCATATTTTTGACCCTTTTTTTACTCAGAAATACCACTGCTGGACTTTAGCTTTAGCAACACACAGTTTCCTACCTGCCCACCAGGAGGCGACACTGTATTTCTTCTAAAATGTCAGTCTCAATGTTTTCACCAAAACAGATTTTCTAGGCATCGATTTCAAGTCAGAATCTTCACCAACCTCTAATAATTTAAAACCAAAACTGCATAAACTAAAAGATGAATAAATACAGTACATGCCAATTAGAAGATTTGATTCAGTGTTGAATTAATTTTGGTCAGGGGCCAAATAATAAAAATATGAACTAGTCGGGGGCCAAAAGAATAGAAGGGATTTCCTATTAGAGGGTATTTTGACATGACTTTTATGTGACCAAATATAAAATTAAACACATTGTTTTATATTTAACTGTATAACTGAGGAAACTCATGTGGACCGCTTATGTCCTCGATGTCTTCCTTTCAGTCTTGACCCAAAGCCAATGACCAGAGCTGAGGAAAAGAACATAGAGCTTTGCCTTTTGACTCTTCACCACAACGGTTCACAACAGTCGAAAACTCGCAAACAAGACTTTAAAGATGGCTTCACTATTCAAACTCAAGCCTGTCATTAACCAACGACCTCTCTCTCTGTGGCTGCAGGAATGCCCGAGTGGATTGGTGGACGAGGAAACGTTCAAGTCCATTTACGCTCAGTTCTTTCCACAAGGAGGTGAGGCCTGGATAAAAAAAATCACCTTTATTATGGATATGATCTTGTCATAATAATTTACTTTATCAATAATCTACTCATCACCCACTATTTGATGGATTTGCATTGTTTTGTGACTCAGTTGGCTCAATATCTTTGCCAGAGCGGAGAGATTTTTATCATTTCGTTTGTAAGACAAGCTCTCGAACTGGTGTTTCTAAGGGACTTGGTCTCTGAGCCGGATAAATGCCTCTCTCAACACAATTTGATGTCACACAAATCCAAAGCAGTGGGGCCAGCTTTAAAAGGATAATCCTGCTGTAATGTAATTGGACCAGGGGTTTAAGTTCTTTGACTATTATCGCCTGTCCCGATATGCTATCCATCAAAACTTGGCTGTTACCGGTTTCTTTGTTTTTCAGATGCAACGACGTACGCCCACTTCCTGTTCAACGCCTTTGACATAAACCGTAATGGATCGATCCGCTTCGAGGACTTTGTGATCGGTCTCTCTGTGCTGCTGCGCGGCTCTGTCACAGAAAAACTCAACTGGGCTTTCAACTTGTATGACATTAACAAAGACGGATACATCACCAAAGAGGTACTGGTCGTCATGGGAACGGGAAAAATGTGACGATTCGATAGCATTGCGATATTTGGGCCATGATTCCATAGTATTGCGATTCTTCACACATCGCGATGCAGCAAGTTTTGTGATTTGATTCTGCGATATCTAACGTTGCATGTCCCTCATATTACAGAAATTGAGAAAAATAAACTCAATTGTCACATTTATTATGGTGTGTACATTACATGAAGTGCAAAAATGTTTTCCTTGAACATCCAGGACACAGGATCTTATTACAGACATAATTATTCTCCCATCACATCAATTATTCAAATACATAGACTTTCGTTTGAACTTCTATTTGAATGAATGCACGACAACACTCACTGCTCTTACATGGAAGAAAAAAGAATGGGATGACTGGACCAGGACCATGTACTATATGGATCCAAATCCATGGTCTCAAAGATGTCTGCTCATTCAACTCAATGGCATGTGAGGGTTCTGAATTCCGCAAGGAGACCAGAGAGAGAGACCATAGACAGACCAGAGAGAGACCAGAGAGTGAGCGAGAAGAGCAGAGAGGGAGACCAGGACATGGAGGCCAGGAAAGGGAGAGACCAGAGAGAGACGCCACAGACAGAACGGAGAGAGAGACCAGAGAGAGAGAGTGGAGAGAGCGACTAGAGACCAGGGAAGGGAGAGACCAGAGAGAGAGACTAGAGAGAGTCCAGGGAAGGGAGAGATCAGAGAGAGACCAGAGAGAGACCAGGGAAGGGAGAGACCAGAGAGACAGACTAGAGAGAGACCAGGGAAGGGAGACACCAGAGAGAGAGACCAGGGAAGGGAGAGCCCAGAGAGAGACCAGTGAGAGAGACTAGAGAGAGACCAGGTAGGGGAGAGACCAGAGAGAGACCAGGGAAGGGAGAGACCAGAGAGAGACTAAAGCGAGAGACTAGAGAGAGACCAGGGAAGGGAGAGACCAGAGAGAGACCAGAGAGAGACTGGTGGATAAAACAATAAAAATAGATTCATCATAACTAACGACACTAAAACCCAGACAAAACCCGACCCTTGTAAACGCTGTATGTTTCCTGAGAGCTGAGGACGAGCAGTTTTAAAAATGAACCCAAATAATGAATCCTATATGTTTTCTTTACCTCTCGTCACCAGGAAATGTTGGCAATCATGAAATCTATCTACGACATGATGGGCCGCTACACTTACCCTTGTGTGCGCGACGATGCCCCCTCAGAACACGTGGACAAGTTCTTCCAGGTTTGAGACACACTATTATATACGTATTTTGTCTTCTTCTCACACCTTTGCGAGTATCTGCAAATATTTTTCTATAATATTTATAATTAAGTATTATGTAAATGTAACTCAGGGTTATTTATGCACAATTTGGATATTCTACAGTACTTTTGTTTCTTGTACACTAATTATTATTATCTGTCTATGTCTTTTAACCTTTTACAACACTGTTTCTCGTCAATAACAATGACCTGGGGTTGATTTTAGGGCTATCCATGCTCTCCAACATGTTCACTTGTCTAAAGTGTGCTTTTGTTTTTTTGTTCCGGTAGAAAATGGACAGAAACCGTGACGGCGTCGTGACGATTGAAGAGTTCATCGAAACTTGTCAGAAGGTGATTTTACTTTTTTCTGTGGTCGTTTAGGAAGAGTAGTATTTACAGTATGTATTTCCCAATTGGAGTAGAGTAGAGTAGAATAGAGTAGAGTAAAGTAGAGTAGAGCCGAGTAGAGTAGAGTAGAGTAGAGCTGAGTAAAGTAGAGCCGAGTAGAGTAGAGTAGAGTAGAGTAAAGTAGAGTAGAGCCGAGTAGAGTAGAGTAAAGTAGAGTAGAGTAGAGTAGAGCTGAATAAAGTAGAGCCGAGTAGAGTAGAGTAGAGTAAAGTAGAGTAGAGCCGAGTAGAGTAGAGTAGAGTAGAGTAGAGCCGAGTAGAGTAGAGTAAAGTAGAGTAGAGTAGAGTAGAGCTGAGTAAAGTAGAGCCGAGTAGAATAGAGTAGGGTAGAGTAGAGTAGAGTAGAGTAGAGTAAAGTAGAGTAGAGCTGAGTAAAGTAGAGTAGAGTAGAGTAGAGCAGAGTAGAGTAGAGCCGAGTAGAGTAGAGTAAAGTAGAGTAGAGTAGAGTAGAGCTGAGTAAAGTAGAGCCGAGTAGAATAGAGTAGGGTAGAGTAGAGTAGAGTAGAATAGAGTAGAGTAGAGTAGAGCAGAGTAAAGTAGAGTAGAGTAGAGTAGAGCTGAGTAAAGTAGAGTAGAGCAGAGTAAAGTAGAGCCGAGTAGAGTAGAGTAAAGTAGAGTAGAGCCGAGTAGAGTAGAGTAAAGTAGAGTAGAGCTGAATAAAGTAGAGCCGAGTAGAGTAGAGTAGAGTAAAGTAGAGTAGAGTAGAGTAAAGCCGAGTAGAGTAGAGTAGAGTAGAGTAGAGCTGAGTAAAGTAGAGCCGAGTAGAATAGAGTAGGGTAGAGTAGAGTAGAGTAGAATAGAGTAGAGTAAAGTAGAGTAGAGCTGAGTAAAGTAGAGTAGAGTAGAGTAGAGCAGAGTAAAGTAGAGTAGAGTAGAGCCGAGTAGAGTAGAGTAAAGTAGAGTAGAGTAGAGTAGAGCTGAGTAAAGTAGAGCCGAGGAGAATAGAGTAGGGTAGAGTAGAGTAGAGTAGAGTAGAGTAGAGTAGAGTAGAATAGAGTAGAGCTGAGTAAAGTAGAGTAGAGTAGAGCCGAGTAGAGTAGAGTAAAGTAGAGTAGAGTAGAATAGAGTAGGGTAGAGTAGAGTAGAGTAGAGTAGAGTAGAATAGAGCTGAGTAAAGTAGAGTAGAGCAGAGTAAAGTAGAGTAGAGTAGAGTAGAGCTGAATAAAGTAGAGCCGAGTAGAGTAGAGTAGAGTAGAGTAGAGCCGAGTAGAGTAGAGTAGAGTAGAGCTCAGTAAAGTAGAGCCGAGTAGAATAGAGTAGGGTAGAGTAGAGTAGAGTAGAGTAGAATAGAGTAGAGTAAAGTAGAGTAGAGCTGAGTAAAGTAGAGTAGAGCAGAGTAAAGTAGAGTAGAGTAGAGTAGAGCTGAGTAAAGTAGAGTAGAGCAGAGTAAAGTAGAGCCGAGTAGAGTAGAGTAGAGTAGAGTAGAGTAGAGTAGAGCCGAGTAGAGTAGAGTAAAGTAGAGTAGAGCCGAGTAGAGTAGAGTAAAGTAGAGTAGAGTAAAGTAGAGCCGAGTAGAGTAGAGTAGAGTAGAGCAGAGTAGAGCCGAGTAGAGTAGAGTAGAGTAGAGCCGAGTAGAGTAGAGTAGAGTAGAGCCGAGTAGAGTAGAGTAGAGTAGAGCTGAGTAAAGTAGAGTTGAGTAGACTAGAGTAAAGTAGAGTAGAGTAGAGTAGAGCCGAGTAGAGTAGAGTAGAGCAGAGTAGAGCCGAGTAGAGTAGAGTAGAGCCGAGTAGAGTAGAGTAGAGTAGAGCTGAGTAAAGTAGAGTAGAGTAGAGTAGAGTAGAGTAGAGTAGAGTAGAGTAGAGTAGAGTAGAGTAGAGTAGAGTAGAGTAGAGTAGAGTAGAGTCTAGTCTGCAATCCCAGCTTTAAAATGTGATTTTCAGAATGTTTTTATTTTTTTATGTTTATATGTAATTATTATGTTATTATTTTCTCAGGATGACAACATCATGAGTTCGATGCAGCTGTTTGAAAATGTAATATAATAAAACTCGACCCACGAACTACGCACTTGAGACCAAAAACGTCTCCACCGGCTCCGGTCTCGCACCAGTCTCGCACCAGTCTCGCACCAGTCTCGCACCATCGTCGCTGCTATGAATTCTTTAGAACCACAGAAGAGCTTCCGGAAACCAAGTGCACATGATGTTTCTGTCTCATTTATCTGTTGTGCGCAGATTACCACCAAAAGGAACTGTTCACATAGACTATCATACCAATGACCAGAGGTGGCAAGTAGAAGTACTCGAGTATTTCACCACGGTTACTGTACTGTACTTTTATGGCAATGTTTTACTTTTACTCTTCACTTCCTTCGACAAATATCTGTCATTTCTGCTCTTTACAATGAGCTTGAAGTGGTTAGCCATGCTGCTAAGTGCATCAATGCATGTTTGAAGTGGTTATCCATGCTTTAAAATATGTCAATGCATGTTTGAAGCGGTTAGCCATACTTCTAAATGCATTAATACTTGTTTGAAGTGGTGAGCCATGCTTCTAAATGCATCAATACACGTTTGAAGTGGTGAGCCATGCTTCTAAGCACATTAATACATGTTTGAGGTGGTTAGCCATGCTTCTAAGTGCGTTAATACACGTTTGAAGTGATGAGCCATGCTTCTAAGCGCATTAATACATGTTTGAGGTGGTTAGCCATGCTTCTAAGTGCATTAATACATGTTTGAGGTGGTTAGCCATGCTTCTAAACGTGCAGTAATACATGTTTGAGGTGGTTAGCCATGCTTTTCAAAGTGTATTAAATCTGGGGTAAGTAAGATCGAGTCTCTCTCTCACAAACTTCATTAAGTACTTTATATTGTTTAAGTATCAACTTTGACCAGATACTTTACTCGAGTACATAAAGCTGGGATATGCTGTGGTCTGAACATGGTACCAATCAAAGCCTCTTTCTATTGAGACAAACGACATGTATTATTTTCGAAACTGAAGATTTAGGTACCCGAGCTTTAGCAGCAGTACCTTTGCCACCTTTGCCACTATCTGACACTGAGCATGGGGTAAAGGGGGTAAAGTCTGAAATAAAAGCATGTTTGTGGACAACATTGTGACGTGAAAGTCGCCTGCCCTAAAACTGTCTGTACCGTTGGTCACTGGTCGGTACCGTTGGTCACTGGTCGGTATCACTGGTCACTGGTTGGTACCACTGTTTACTGATCGGGACCACTGGTCATGGATTGGTACAACTAGTCACTGGTCACTGGTTAGTGCCACTGGTCTGTGCTCGGTACGACTGGTCACTGGTCTGTACTGCTGGTCACTGGTCGGTACCACATGTCACTGGTTGGTACCGCTGGTCACTGGTCGGTACCGCTGGTCACTGGTCGGTACCGCTGGTCACTGGTCGGTACCGCTAGTCACTGGTCGGTACCGCTGGTCACTGGTCGGTATCGTTGGTCACTGGTCGATACCGCTAGTCACTGGTCGGTACCGCTGGTCACTGGTCGGTACCGCTAGTCACTGGTCGGTACCGCTGGTCACTGGTCGGTATCGTTGGTCACTGGTCGGTACCGCTGGTCACTCGGCTCGTGTAGATACCTGTGGTGTATATATGTATATGTATCATTATAATTAGTATGAGAAACGAATGCATTCCTTTGATTTTTGAGAGTAGAAATGACGCAAGTGGCAGTTTTTTGGGGTTATTTTCATGGATGGAGATGTGGGGGGTAAGTTTATTTGATTAGCACAGTCCATACACAAGGCTCATAAAGGAGGCCTGTCTGGACTAATGTGATGGTACTTCCTGGTTTTTCATAATAACAACCAATGAATAACTAATACACATCAATAGCCTATATGTACAACCTGCCCCCCCCCTTTGCCGCCTCTATGAATATCCTCCAAAATCCTCCACCGGTGATTACGATCCAAAAAGACCTGTATTTTGACCGGACTGTTAGAGTTTTTATCTCTGAGTTTAGATATAGCCTGCCTTCCTTGTGGAGAACGTGCGCATGCTGACGGAAGTGCCACAGTGTCATGTACAAACCCACTCCTCCATCACTGTACAGAACAATAAAGTCTATTTGTGATGAGCTCTGAGTTTTTCTTGCTTCGGACAAAAGTTAGAAGTGTGTTTGATTAAAGTTGAGGTACCCGACTTTGAGATTTGTCCCACAGTGGGGAAATTTCAGTGTTGCATTACAGAGCAGTAGGAATTAGAAGCACAAGATAAATGAACAATAACACTATACTAAAATAAATACAATCTCTAACTTTAACAAAATAAAGAAGAAAATATAAATTGTCTAACTTCAGTGGATAGCCATGCTTCTAAGATAAGATAAGATAAGATGTGCTTTATTTATCTCACAGAGGAGAAATTTACATGTCACATTTGGCATGGATAGAACACTCAGATTGTGCAAAAGGAGGAAATGTGCAAACATGTTACATGCAGGATATATATGTACAATAAAAGTGACAATAATTATGTACAACAAAAGTGACAAGTGTCAATTGGAAACAGTGTCAATAGTGCAGGTTTTCACACAGTGATCATTTAAAGCAGAGGTCGTTAAACGGCGGACCTCGGTCCGGATCCGGACCCCCAACCCATCGGATCCGGACCCCCAACCCATCCGATCCGGGCCCAAACCTGCTTTAAAAATATTAATAATAATAATGCAGGCTTTCCAACCGCGTCTATTCTAACTTCATTTTGCGCCGCTCCTTCTGGTGTTGGTGAGGGCCGACCGGGCGGGGCGTCCCTTCAGCCAGGGGCCACACGTGATTCGATCAGCCAATGAACTGTGTGGCGCGTAGTGCTGCTGCCAGTGCTAGCTATTTTTAAACACCGGCAAGTCAGAGAGAAGCAGGCAGCGAAACAGGCGAAGACGGAGAGTGATCAGCAGCGCGAACACGCGAGAGAAAAGTGAAATGGCGTGCTCAAAACAGAGGAAGGTAGACGCGGAAAACAGAGTTTTTAAACAAGAATGGACTGACACGTACTTGTTCGTTTTACCTGCTGACAGCGCAAAACCCGTGTGTCTCATTTGCTCCGAGACTGTCGCTCTCATCAAAAGCAGCAATATAAAGCGGCACTATGAGACGAAGCACTCCACGTTTTCCCACACATATCCCCAGAGCTCAGCCATACGGTCGCAGAAAATAGCCGATTTAAAGGCACAATATGCTCGGTCCTCCAGGATTATGGTCCAAACATTCACTGCTCAGCAACGCGCTAATGAGTGTTCTCTGAGAATTGCGTGGATATTGGGTCAACACAAAAAGTCATTCAGCGATGCAATGGTTGTCAAAGAATGTATGAGTGCAGTTACTGAGACATTACTTGATGGAAAGCAAAAAGAAGAGCTCTGTCAAAAAATACAGCAAATTCCTCTGTCAGCTTCATCAGCCACACATAAAACACAAATTGTAACACGTGATGTACTGGCACAGCTTGATGAAGCGATTAAAAAGGCAGAATGCATAGGTTTGGCTGTAGATGAGTCCACTGATAGAACTGACAATGCCCAGCTTGTAGTTTTTGTAAGATTTTTTAACAAAGAGGAAAAGAAAATGTTTGAGGACCTGTTAGGAGTAGCAACCCTGGAGAGCAACACAAGAGGAGAAGACATCTACAAAGCAATAAAGACGATGTTAACAGAAAGGGGAATAGATGTGAGAAAAGTTGTTTCAATAACAACAGATGGAGCTCCAGCCATGTTAGGGAGAGAAAGGGGAGCTGTGGCAAGAATGAGAGAAGACCACCCTGGACTTATCTCTTACCATTGCATAATACACCAATCAGTCCTATGTGCCATACTTTCAGATCAGTATGCAGATGTGATGAGCACAATGATGAAAATGATTAACTTTCTCCGGGCATCTTCTTCTCTGCAACATCGTCTCCTCAGAGAGTTCCTCAAAGAAGTTGAAGCAAATGCAGATGACCTCCTGCTCCACAATAATGTTAGATGGCTCAGTAAAGGCAGAGTGTTGGAGCGCTTTTGGTCCATTAGAAAAGAAATCGAAAGTTTCTTGGGACAACTTAAGAGCCAAAAGGCAACGCCATTTCTTTTGTTTCTGAGGGATATGGAGAAGATGGATCATGTAGCATTCTTGGTTGATATCACATCACACCTGAATCAACTGAATTTAAAACTACAAGGCAAGGACCATTCAGTCTGTGATCTGATGACAGATGTCCATGCATTCCAGAGAAAGCTGGAGCTGTTTAAAGGAGACCTGCAGGGAGACTGCACACACTTCCCTGCTGTCAAGGAACAAATCAGGGGTGACAAGTCCAGTTTTGTTGATTTTGTGGAAAAACTGATTACCAATTTTGGGAAGCGTTTTGACAGTTTCACTCTGGGAGAACAGCTCAGTTTGTTTTTTCAGAATCCATTCCTTATCACTGACATCAGAGGATTTTCAAAGGAAGCAAGTGACACTTTCAGCTGGGCAAATGCAGGAGCTCTTCAGCTGGAACTTGCAGATCTTCAGTCCAATGTTGTACTAAAAGGGCAAATTGGAGGAAGTGATGCTGCATCTTTCTGGATCCAAATAGTCTCAGAGACAGCGTTCCCAACTCTGAAAAAGGCTGCCCTGCACATTTTGAGTATGTTTGGCTCAACCTACTGCTGTGAAGCAGCATTCTCCACGATGAATGTGATCAAAAATAAATATCGTTCCAGGCTCACCAATGAACATCTTGACATGTGCTTGAGAATGGCTTTGTCATCTTTCAATCCCAGGTTTAAAATTCTTGCAGGGCAGCAAGTAGCCCACTTCTCTCATTAGCGACTAAATGCAATCAGTTCAGGTGTTTTATAAAAGGTGTATTTTTTAGTTGTCAAATTCACCGACTTGGAAAGTATTTTTGCTTTTCTATGTTGCAACAAGCACTTTATTTTAGAGTTCTATTTTGATACTAAAAATGTTATTTTCTTTCATATTTATTATTTGAAGCACTTTTCAAATACCAACATTTTTGGTGGTATTGATGTAAATGTTTGAAATT